ATTATGTAATTGTAACCTAAAGAAAATATATTATGAAATACAATCAATCTAAATTATTCTAAATGGTAATCCACCCAAAATTTATAACATGAAACTTCATTCTTCTTCAATGTGGCATGAATTGAAATATCTTTTGATAATTTCAACAATATTTTCTTCACATCTTCATTGAAGCATATTGTATGATTGATGTCTCTTGGTTCATATCAACATGCCTTGAAATAATAACCATAGTTCTTAAGGGTTCTTAGGGTCTTAAGTTCTTCTTTCCTTGGTGCTACAAGGTCTTCCTTAATCCTTATAACCACCTTTGACCTTCATTAATCCATGTACTCTCTAGCCTCTACTTTTGTACCTATACATTACCCACGTCACCTTATTTGTAGATGAAGCTTGCACCAACCTTGAAACATCTAGAATGGTGTTGATTTTAAACTTGAAAATTCTGGAAGGTCCTGTGAAAAAATCTACTTCGATGAGGGTGCTGCAGACTTCAACTTTGAATACCAGCCGTTAGATCTAAAGATATCTGAGTCTTCTAGATCATTTCCAAATTTGGGGTAAATCCAACGATCAGATCTTGAGATATAGAAGATTTTGTCCAGCTGACCCATACTGAAAACAAATGTTGGAAGATTTTTCTGGGCATGGACATTTTCGTGAATAATTGAAACATTAGGGGTACTTTGATAATTTATCACATTTCAAATTTTTTATTTTGACCCATCCATTCTTTTCCAAACCTTTTCCCAAGGTTTTGGATGCTTATGAAACCTTGCTAGAGCATTGAGAATCTCTTCTTTGGGCCCCTTAACCTTTCTTAGGCACCTTAAACTTACTCGAGTGTCTTAACCTTATTTGGGGTGTCACAAATTCTCCCCCTCTTAAGAACTTTTATTTTCGAAAGTTTGTTGTTCCTACCTTACCTTAGGGTACTTGTCCTTCATTATGTCCTTTCATATTGCTTGAGGGTCCTTTTATAGGTTTGTCCTTTTCCAACATGTTATAATCTACCCGTTATGACCTTTAGTTCATAATTTATGCCTTAAGACCATGTACTTGTTCTGACAAATTTTCCTTGGTCATGCTTATGTTATCTTATATCCTAAACCTTATCTCCTTCCTTAAGTTCAAAAAGCCTTGACATAATCAACCTTGTTCCTTTCTTGTTCTTTCCTTGGTCTTCCTTAATCCTTGTAATTACTCTTACCCTTCACTAATCCTTGTACTCTCAAGCCTTCACTCCTGTCCCTAAATGTTGTCCATATCTTCTTATTTGTAGATGAAGCTTGCATCAACCTTGAGACAACGATATGGGTATTTGTTCTTACCTTGCTTTTGGGTGTTTGTCCTTAGGGTTGCCCTTCCAAGTTTCTTGAGGGTTCATTCATAGGTTTGTCCTTCTCCACCATGTTCTTACAATTTTCTCTTGTGGCATTTAGTTCTTATTTTATGCCTTAAGGTTATATACTTGTTCCAAATTCGCCCATTTTGACTGTCTTCTCAATTTTTGACATCCTTTGTTGAAATTAACAAGTTTTTCTTGGTCATCCTTGTGTTTCCTTATATCTTAGAGATTAACTTCTTCTTTATGTTCGAGGGTGTTGCCCACTTCATCTTCGAACACCAACGGTTAGATCTGAAGATATCTGAGACTTCTAATCATATCCAATCGTGGGACAAATTCAATCGTCGAAACTTGAGAGATGGAAACATTTGTCTAACTGACCCCTACCAAAAATGAATCGGGAAAGATTTTCTGGCTAGGGGCATTTTCGTAAATATACCACAATTTGAAAATCTCCAATGACTTTGGAATCTTGCATAACCAATAGGCTATAAATAAAATCTTAAGTCATTTAGAGTTGATTTAGTTTATAAATCAACACTTGGGTAATAGGGGCATTTTGGTCATCTTGCATTTATCCTCGGTTTACCCCTAACAAACTCCAATTACCACCAAAATGCATACATATCCTTAATATGCCTTCTATTAAAAGTTCATGAGCAGCGGAATCCATTTAGTGGGTTATCTTAACGTTACTTGATTTTCAAGCAAAAGGTCAGTTTAGGTCCTTATTAACTTTCGATCTAGATTCGTTGACATTCGGGTTCTCTATTCTCAAGCTTTCGATATTCGAATTGCTAAATTTTTTTTGAGTAGGTCTATCTTTGAGGGCATTTTCTAGAACCAAAGAGAATTTCTTGAGAATTAGTCTGGAAGGGGACTAATTTTCAGATAAACTGAGGGAAGGTCACATTTTAGGCTGATGTGACCGGTTCAACTGAACCAGCAACGTCATCGTTTTCTTTCACAGATAGTGGAAGAAGACGATTCGTGCCAGTACTCCTCCATTTGAAAACGACATTCCCTTGGCCTTGATTTCTTCATGAAGCTCATAGATGCTGAATCAAGCAAGAGAATGAGATCGATTTCATACCTTGACATGCACTATAGCTCGAGTTATTAACTGTAGAAGTTTGTTGGAGAACTTAATCCCCGCGGGAGCAAAACCTAAATTTGGTCATGATATAGGTCTCCTTAAGGCCGTGTACTTGTTCCGACACTTGCCCCTTGACTGTCTTGTCAACATTCTTTGTTGAGAATGACAAGTCTTCCTTGATCATCCTCGCGTTTCCTTATATTTTAGAGCTCATCTTTTCCATATGTTCAACAAGTTTCGATGTAATTAACATTGTTCCTTCAAGGTTGTTTCCTTAGGTTGAGATTTGAATTTGGCATATGGTGGCCCTGGCATCCCCTTAAGTTGAGATGTGAATTCAGCTAATAATTGATGGCCCCAACAATCTCCTGTGTCCTCTGTGAAGCGGTCATGTGATTATGACGTGCCATAGGAGATCTTGGATCATTTAAGTGGCAACAAGCCGTCTTGATGTCATGGTAGGCTCAAGACTTAGGTGGTGAATTTTTTAGTGCCATCCTTCTTGGCATAGCCTTTGATCCTAGAGCATTACTTTAAATTCATGAGGTCTTAGGTTGGGGCTCTAAGGATTTCTCATTAAAACTCGACACAAATAAAGCATGAGTTATGAGTTATGACATGAGATTCTTAAGCCTTCACATTTCACGCATGGGTCTTTCATGAGTGTCATGCCATCATCATACTTCTTGGATTTCATCCATTCTCATTAATGGTATTTTTGGTTCATGACTAAGGTAATATATTCACTTGTGCTAACAAGAGATTTCTTAGCTTCTTGTATCATGATTCATGGCATGTATTCAACTCGACAGCTATTCTTATCAATTCTCATCACTACTCTCCGTGAAGACCTAATAGGCCACATGATGGTGAACATCATGAACCTAAATCTTGACATCCTGTGCCTACACAGTATATCCCATCTAGGTGAGAGAATCATGAATCTTGGCATCCTGCTAAATGTTCCTGACATAGGGCATCCCACCTAGATGAGAAAAATATGGAGTCACGATGCACCTCGTGGTGGGAGGTCAAGGGTCACATAGGACATAGGTTGGAGTAGTACTTAACTTTAGGGCATACGTGTATGATAAACGTACTTGACTTGATTCATTACCTTAATGTAGCATCCTAGTTACTTGAAAATGGAGAGCTAACCTAAAGCTTTCTTACTTGACTTGATTCATGGTCTTAAGGTGGCATTCTGATTACTTGAAAATCAAGAGCTAACCTAAAACTTACTTACTTGACTTAATTAGTGACATTAGGGTAGCTTCCTGATTACTTAAAAATCAAGAGATAACCTAAAGCATGTTTACTTAGCTTGATTCATGGCCTTAGGGTAGAATCTTGATTACTTGAAAATCAAGAGTCAACCTAAAGCTTACTTATTTGATTCATGGTCTTCAAGTAACATACTGATTACATGAAAATCAAGGGCTAACCTCAAGCTTACTTGCTTGATTCATGACCTTATAGTAGCATCCCAATTACTTGAAAATTAAGGGCCAGTTTAAAGCTTAACTACTAGATTCATGGCCTTAGGGTACCATATTAATTAGTTGAAATTTAAGGGCTAACTGATAGTAATGCATACTTGTAACACATCCTAACTTCATTCGTGTCGTCATATTATCCTCATGAGCATAAGTTATTCATAACATCAAACATGTCATAACATAACATTGGGCCTCATGAATTCTTATAAGGAGGTCATTAGGGGTATTTTAGTCTTTTACTACTTGAATCATGGTTCATACCTCAAACATATTATAATCCTTTCAATACCATATATGAGTTCTTTATGACATTTCATGTTTTTATATCAAGTCTTGGTGAGCTTATGTCTTTATTCGTGTCGCCATATTGTCCTCGTGAGAATATGTTATTCATAGCATCATATATGTCATAACATGACTCTTGGGCCTCATGAATTCTTATAAGAAGGTCATTAAGGGTATTCTAGTCTTTTACTACTTGAATCTTGGTTCAAACATATTCTATTCCTTTTAATACCATGGATGAGTTATTTATGACACTTCATGTCTTTATGTACTTTAAGTCTGGGTGAGCTTAGAGCTTGTGTTGTACTCTTTTGTTTTCTTAGTCTTATGGGTTCTTGGTTTCTTGCTCCAAGGTTTATCTTACGACACAATATGAATTCTTAAGCCCTAATCCAAGCTCATAAGTCATAAACATTTCATGGCATCGTAAAGATCATAACATGTTCCTTGAAGTTCTTAAAAGATCACAAATCCTTATTAAGGGTCTTTAAGGGTAGATTTGTCATTTCCTTAAAACCTTGGCTTATATCCCAAACCTGATCTAGTTCCCTTAAGATCTTACATAATTATCATTAAGGTCATACACAATATTTTTTTTTTTTTTAGAACCAAAAAGAATTTCATGAGAACTAATTTAGAAGGGTTCGAGGAAAACAAGGGAATGTCACATTTTAGTGGTATGTGACTGGTTCAAATTGAACTGGCAAATCATCGTCTTCTTTGATTGAGAGTGGAAGAAGATGATTGGCCCCAAATAAGTTCATTTCATATCTTGGCATGCATGTAGCTCAAGTTATTAACCATAGAAGTTTGCAGAAAACTAATCCTTATGGGATCAAAATAAAAAAAAATTATTATTGGTTGGGGCCATACGACCTTATCTCACCCCGATTCCTTCATGAAATCTCTTGATCTTCTTTTCTCCGGTTCAAGAAATAGTGTGGATGCTCCCAATTTCAAGTTTGATCTCTCAACTTCTTAATCATTTTCCATCTGATTCTTAAGTTTATTGGGTAGAACGATATGGACATCTTTAGCTTCCAATTTCTTCATGAAAAATTTCTCTCTCATTGCCACGAAGCTAATGAGTAAGGTACTGAACTTTGGATTACTCCAAATTGGCCCGTAATGAACTTTCTTCGATTCCCTTTGATTCAGACGCTCCTTTAGCTTCGTGGTTTTCATGGAAACTCATCTTTGGCAGCCCAAAAGTCAATGGAACTGGTTTGGACGAACGAATTTTCTTGTAGCCTCCAATTGGAATTTCAAAGATTCCTCATTTCATGGGCCATGGAACATGAATTAAGGAAACTTGTTTGGGCTCAACTCTCTGATCCTTTATGAAACTCGTTAGGAAACTCATTTAGAAGTTGTAGGAATTGATTTGGGGCAAAATGTTTAACTATGGCTCTTTAATTTTGAAGAACCCGATACTAGTCTCCAATTGGAATTTAAAAAAATCTTCCCTCCAAGGACCATGGAACTCGAGTTAGGGAAACTTGTTTAGCCTCTTTAAACCTACTCGAGTGTCTTCCAAATTCTCCCCTCTTAAGAACTTTCGTCCCCAAAAGTTAACAGTTCTTATCTTGTCTAAGGGTACTACTTGTCCTTAGTTTGGTCCTTCCAAGTTTATTGAGGGTCCATTTATAGGTTTGAACTTTCCACCGCATGTCCTTATAATCTGCCCTTGTGACTTTTAGTTCAAGTCCTTCTTTTCTTGGTATTACAAAGTCTTCCTTAATCCTTAGAACTGGTTATTGTCATCCAGCCCTAGTGGCCTTTAGTTCTTAACTTATGCCCGTTCCAACATTTGTTCCTTTTAAGTGCCTTCTAACCATCAATTGATCTTCTTTGGTCATCCTTGTCTTTCCTTATATCGTTGAGTTTATCATCTTTATGTTCAACGAACCTTGACATAATTAATGTTGTTCCTTTGAGATCGTAGTTTAGGTGTTCCTTTTGTTCCATCTTGTACAAGGCGAGTTCTTTGAGTCATAAATTCTTCTTTTTGGTATATTACAAGGCTTTTCTTAATCCTTGTAACATCCCTTGGCCATCCATAATCCTTATAATCAGCCCTTGTGGCCTTTAGTTCTTAACTTATGACTTTAGATATTTTCTAATTCCGACATTCGATCGTTTTGATTGTCTTCTCAACATCCTTTGTTGAGATTAACAAGTCTTCATTGGTCATCCTTGTGTTCAACAAGTCTTCATTATATCATAAAGTTTGTCGCCTTTATGTTCAATAAGCCTTGACATAATCAACGTTGTTTCTTCAAGGTCGTATCGTAGATGTTCCTTTAATTCCTTCTTGTACAAGGTGAGTTCTTTGGGACTTAAGTTCTTCTTTTCTCAATATAGCATGGTCTTTCTTAATCCTTGTAACATCCCTTGGCCGTCCATAATCCATATAATTAGCTCATATGGCCTTTAGTTCTTAACTTATGTCTTAAGTCATGTACTTATTCCGACATTTGTTCCTTATTTTAGATGTTCCTTTTGTTCAGTCTTATACAAGAAAGGTTCTTCGGGTCTTAAGTTCTTCTTTTCTCGGTATAACAAGAACTTCATTAATTCTTGTAGCTACCTTTGACCGTCCATAATCCTTATAATCAACCCTTGTGACCTTTAGTTCTTAACTTATGTCTTAAGACATGTACTTATATCGTAGAGATTGTAAGGTCTTCCTTGATTATCCTTGTGTTTCCTTATATCGTAGAGCTTATCGTCTTTATGTTCAACAAGCCTTAACATAATCAACGTTGTTCCTTCAAGGTCATATCTTAGTTGTTCCTTTAATTCCTTCTTGTACAAGGCCAGGTTCTTTGGGTCATACGTTATCTTTTCTAGGTATTACAAGGTCTTCCTTAATATTTGTATCTACTTTTGGCTTTGTATAATCCTAATCAGCCCTTGTGGCCTTAAGTTCTTTGGTTATGCCTTAATGCATGAACTTATTCTGGCATTTGTTCCTTTTGACTGTCTTCTCAACATCTTTTGTTGAACTTGTCAAGTCTTATTTTAGATCTTCCTTTTGTTCCTTCTTGTACAATGCAAGTTTTTTGAGTCGTAAATTCTTTTTTTCTCGGTAAAACAAAGTCTTCTGCAATCCTTGTAACATCCCTTGGCTGTCCATAATCCTTATAATCAACCCTTTCAGTTCCTAACTTATGCCTTAAGTCATGTATTTATTTCGACCTATTTCACCATTTGTTCCTTTTGACTATCTTCTAAACATCCACATGTTGAGATTGTCAAGTCTTTCTTTGGTCATCCTTGTGTTTCCCTATATCGTAGAGCTTCTCGTCTTTATGTTCAACAAGTCTTATAATAATCAACGTTGTTCCTTAGAGGTCGTATAACTTAGATGTTCCTTTTGTTCCTTATTGCATAAGGCGGGTTCTCTGGGTCTTAAGTTCTTCTTTTCTCAGTATAACAAGGTTTTCTTAAATTCTTGTAATTACCCTTAGTCGGAATCCTTATAATCAGCCCTTGTGGCCTTTAGTTCTTAACTTATGTTTTAAGACATGTACTTGTTCCGACTTCTGTTCATTTTGATTGTCTTCTCATCCGCCTTGGTTGAGATTGTCAAGTCTTCCTTGGTTATCTTCGTGTTTCCCTATATCGTAGTGCTTATCGTCTTTATGTTCAACAATCCTTAACATAATCAATGTTGTTCCTTGATAGACGTAGCTTAGATGTTTCTTTTGTTCCATCTTGTACAAGGTGGGTTCTTTGAGTCTTCATTTCTTTTATCGATATTATAAGGCTTTTCTTAATCCTTGTAACATCCCTTGGCTATCCATAATCCTCATAATCAGCCCTTGTGACCTTTAGTTCTTAACGTATGTCTTAAAACATGTACTTGTTCCGACATTTGTTCATTTCGACCTTTAGTTCTTAACTTATGTTCTTCCTTGGTCATCTTTGTGTTTCCCTATATCATAGAGTTTATCGTCTTTATGTTTAACAACCCTTAACATAATCAATGTTGTTCCTTCAAGGACGTAGCTTAGATGTTCGTTTTTTTCCATCTTGTACAAGGTGGGTTCTTTGAGTCTTAATTTCTTTTATCAGTATTACAAGGTCTTTCTTAATCCTTGTAACATCCCTTCGTTGTCCATAATCCTTATAATCAGCCATTGTGATCTTTAGTCCTTAATTAAGGCCTTAAGGTGGTATGTACTTGTTCTGACATTTGTTCCTTTTTACTGTCTTCCTAATATCCTTTATTGAAATTGTGAAGTCTTCCTTGGTCATCCTTGTGTTTTCCTATATCCCAAAGCATATCGTTTTTATGTTCAAGAAGCCTTAGCATAATCAACGTTGTTTCTTCGAGATCGTAGCTTAGATGTCCCTTTTGTTCCTTCTTGTACAAGGCGGGTTCTTTAAGTCTTAACCTTCTTTTCTCAAAATCACAAGGCCTTCCTTAATCCTTGTAACATCCCTTGGCAGTCCATAATTCTTATAATCAACCCTTGTGATCATTAGTTCTTAACTTTTGCTTTAATGCGGGTATTTGTTCCAAGATTTGTTCCTTTTAATTATCTTCTTAACATCCTTTGTTGAGATTGTCAAGGTCGTAGCTAAGATATTCTTTTTCTTCCGACTTGTATAAAGTGGGTTCTTTGGGTCTTAAGTTCTTCTTTTATTAGTATTACTAGGTCTTCCTTAATTCTTGCAACATCCCTTGGTCGTCTATAATCTTTATAATCAGCGCTTGTGGCCTTTAGTTCTTAACTTATGCCTTCAGACATGTACTTGTTCCGATATTTGCTCCTTTTGATTTTCTTCTAAACATCCTTTGTTGAGATTGTTGTAGTCAATCTTGTGTTTCCCTATATTGTAGAGCTTATTGTCTTTATGTTCAAGAAGCCTTAACATAATCAACGTTGTTCCATCAAGGTCGTAGCTAACATATTCCTTTTTTTCCATCTTGCACAAGGCGAGTTCTTTGGGTCTTAAGTCTTCTTTTATCGGCATTACAAGGCCTTCCGTAATCCTTGTAACTACCTTTGGCCGTCCATAATCCTTATAAACAGCCCTTGTGGCCTTTAATTCTAAATTTATCCCTCGAGACATTTTCTAGTTCCGATATTTGTTCCTCTTGAATGTCTTAACATCTTTTGTTGAGTTTGTCAAGTTTGTCAAGTTTGTCAAGTTTTCCTTGGTCATTCTTGTGTTTCCTTATATCGCAAAACTTATTATCTTTATGTTTAACAAGCATTTACACAATCAACGTTGTTCCTTTAATATTGTACCTTAAATGTTCATTTTATTCTTTCTTGTAAAAAGTGGGTTCTTTGGGTCATAAATTCGTCTTTCTCGATATTACAAAGTCTTCTTTAATCCTTGTATCTACCTTTGGCCTTGCATAATCCTTATAATAAGCCCTTGTGGCCTTAAGTTCTGTGGTTATTCCTCTTGTTTCCGACAATTGTTTCTTTTGACTTGTCTTCTCAACATACTTTGTTGAGATTGTCAAGCCTTATCTTAGATGTTCCTTTTGTTCCTTCTAATACAAACAAGGCAAGTTTTTTGCGTCTTAAGTTCTTCGTTTCTCGATATAATAAGGTCTTCCTTAATCCTTGTAACTACCCTTGGTCATCCATAATCCTTATAATTAGCCAGTGTAGCCTTTAGTTCTTAACTTATGCCTTAAGTCATGTACTTGTAATGACATTTGTTTCTTTTGATCGTATCTTCTCAACATCTTTTGTTGAGATTGTCAAGTCTTATCTTAGATGTTCCTTTTGTTCCTTCTAGTACAAGGCGGGTTCTTTTGTTGAGATTGTCAAGTCTTATCTTAGATCGTATCTTCTCAACTTAAGTTCTTTTTTGCTTGGTATTACAAGGTTTTCCTTAATCCTTGTAACTACAACGGCCTTCCATAATCCTTATAATTAGCCCTTGTAACACTTAGTTCTTAACTTACATCTTAAGGCATGTACTTGTTCCGAAATTTATTTTTTTGGATTATCTTCCTAACATCCTTTGTTGAGATTGACAAATCTTCACTGGTCATCCTTTTGTATACTTCTATCTTAGAGATTATCATCTTTATGTTCGAAAAACCTTGACATAATTAACATTTTTCCATCAAGGTCGTATTTTAGATGTTCATTTTGTTCCTTCTTGTATAGGGGATTCTTTGGGTTTTAAGTTCTTCTTTTCTCGGTATTACAATGTCTTCCTTGATCCTGGTAACATCTATTGGCCGTCCATAATCCTTATCATCAGCCCTTGTGGCCTTTAGTCCTTAATTTAGGCCTTAAGGCATGTACTTGTTCCGACAATTGTTTCTTTTGATTGTCTTCCCAAGATCCTTGGTTGAAATTGTCAAGTTTTCATTAGTCCTTGTGTTTCCCTATATCGTAGATTATATTGTCTTTATGTTCAACAAGCCTTAGCATAATTAATGTTGTTTTTATGGAGGTCATAACTTAGATGTTCCTTTTACTCCTTGTACAAGGCAGCTTCTTTGGGTCTGAAGCTTTCTTTTCTTAGTATTACAAAACATTCCTTAATCATTGTAACTACTCTTGACCGTCCATAATCCTTATAATCAGCTTTTATGGCTTTTAATCCTTAATTTAAGCCTTGAGGCATGTACTTGTTCCAACATTTGTTCCTTTTGACCGTCTTCCCAACATCTTTTGTTGAGATTGTCAAGCCATCCTTGGTCATCCTTGTGTTTTCTTATATAGTAGAGCTTATTGTCTTTATACTCAACAAATCTTAACATAATCAACGTTGTTTCTTCAAAGTTGTAGCTAAAGATGTTCCTTCAAGGTCGTAACTACCCTTGGCCGTCCATAATCCTTATAATCAGCCCTTATGGCTTTTAGTCCTTAATTTAAGCCTCGATGCATGTACTTGTTCCAACATTTGTTCCTTTTGAATGTCTTCCGAACATCTTTTGTTGAGATTGGCAAGCCATCCTTGTGTTTTCTTATATAGTAGAGCTTATTGTCATTATACTCAATAAGTCTTAATATAATCAACGTTGTTCCTTTAAGGTCGTAACTACCCTTGGTCGTCCATAATCCTTATAATCAGTCCTTATGACTTTTAGTCCTTAATTCAAGCCTCAAGGCATGTACTTGTTCCAACATTAGTTCCTTTTGACGGTCTTCCCAACATCTTTTGTTGAGATTGTCAAGTCATCCTTGGTCATCCTTGTGTTTTCTTGTATAGTAGAGCTTATTGTCTTTATATTCAACAAGTCTTAACATAATCAACGTTGTTTCTTCAAGGTTGTAGCTAAAGATGTTCCTTCAAGGTCATAACTACCCTTGGTCATCCATAATCCTTATATTCAGCCCTTATGACTTTTATCCTTAATTTAAGTCTTGAGTCGTGTACTTGTTCCAACATTTGTTCCTTTTGACTGTCTTCCCAACATCTTTTGTTGAGATTGTCAAGCCATCCTTGGTCATCCTTGTGTTTTCTTATATAGTAGAGCTTATTGTCTTTATACTCAACAAATCTTAACATAATCAACGTTGTTTCTTCAAAGTTGTAGCTAAAGATGTTCCTTCAAGGTCGTAACTACCCTTGGCCGTCCATAATCCTTATAATCAGCCCTTATGGCTTTTAGTCCTTAATTTAAGCCTCGATGCATGTACTTGTTCCAACATTTGTTCCTTTTGAATGTCTTCCGAACATCTTTTGTTGAGATTGGCAAGCCATCCTTGTGTTTTCTTATATAGTAGAGCTTATTGTCATTATACTCAATAAGTCTTAATATAATCAACGTTGTTCCTTTAAGGTCGTAACTACCCTTGGTCGTCCATAATCCTTATAATCAGTCCTTATGACTTTTAGTCCTTAATTCAAGCCTCAAGGCATGTACTTGTTCCAACATTAGTTCCTTTTGACGGTCTTCCCAACATCTTTTGTTGAGATTGTCAAGTCATCCTTGGTCATCCTTGTGTTTTCTTGTATAGTAGAGCTTATTGTCTTTATATTCAACAAGTCTTAACATAATCAACGTTGTTTCTTCAAGGTTGTAGCTAAAGATGTTCCTTCAAGGTCATAACTACCCTTGGTCATCCATAATCCTTATATTCAGCCCTTATGACTTTTATCCTTAATTTAAGTCTTGAGTCGTGTACTTGTTCCAACATTTGTTCCTTTTGACTGTCTTCCCAACATCTTTTGTTGAGATTGTCAAGCCATCCTTGGTCATCCTTGTGTTTTCTTATATAGTAGAGCTTATTGTCTTTATATTCAACAAGTCTTAACATAATCAACGTTGTTCCTTCAAAGTTGTAGCTAAGATGTTCTTTTTTTCCATCTTGTACAAAGTGGATTCTTTGAGTCTTAAGTTCTTCTTTTATCAGTTTACAAGGTCTTCTTTAATCCTTATAACTACCCTTAGTTGTCCATAATCGTTATTATCCACCCTTGTGGCCTTTAATTCTTAACGTATCCCTCGAGACATTTTCTATTTTCAACATTTAATCCTTTTGAATGTCTTTTTAAAATCCTTTGTTAAGATTGTCCAGTATTCTTTGGTCATCCTTATGTTTACTTTATGTTTCCTTATATCATAGAGCTTATCGTCTTTATGTTCAACAAATCTTAACATAATCAACGTTATTCCTTCAACATCATACCTTAGATGTTCCTTTTATTCCTTCTTGTACAAGACGGGTTCTTTGGGTATTAAGTTCTTTTTTTCTCAGCATTAGAAGGTCTTTCTAAATTCTTGTATCTACCCTTGGCCTTGCATAATCCTTATAACAAGCCCTTGTGGCCTTAAGTTCTTTGGTTATGCCCAACGTCATGTACTTGTTCCGACATTTGTTCATTTTGACTATCTTTTCAACATCCTTTGTTGAGTTTGTCAAGTCTTATCTTAGATGTTCCTTTTGTTCCTTCTGGTACAAGGCTCTTTGGGTCTCAAGTTCTTCTTTTTCTAGCTATTACAAGACTTTCCTTAATCTTTGTAACTACCATTGGCCCTTCATAATCCTTATAATCAGCACTTGTGGCCTTTAGTTCTTAACTTATGTTTTAAGACATGTACTTGTTTTAAGACTGTCTTCCTAACATTCTTTGCAAGGGGGATTCTTTAGGTCTTAAGCTCTTCTTTTCTCAGAATTACAAGACCTTCCTTAATCCTTGTAACATCCCTTAGCAGTCCATAATTCTTATAATCAGCCTTATGACCATTAGTTCTTAACTTTTGCTTTAATGCGTGCACTTGTTCCAAGTTTTTTCCTTTTAACTATCTTCTCAACATCCTTTATTGAGATTGTCAAGGTCGTAGCTAAGATATTCTTTTTATTCCATCTTGCACAAAGTGGGTTCTTTGGGTCTTAAGTTCTTCTTTTATCAGTATTACTAGGCCTTCCTTAATTCTTGTAACGTCCCTTGGTCATCTATAATCCTTATAATCAGTGTTTATGGCCTTTAGTTCTTAACTTATGTCTTAAGGCATGTACTTGTTCCGATATTTGGTCCTTTTGATTGTCTTCTTAACATCCTTTGTTGAGATTGTCTTGGTCATCCTTGAGTTTCCCTATATTGTAGAGCTTATCGTCTTTATGTTCAAGAAGCTTTAACATAATCAACGTTGTTCCATCAATGTCATAGCAAAGAAGTTCCTTTTTATTTTTCCGTCTTGTACAAGGCAAGTTCTTTAGGTCTTAAGTCTTCTTTTATCGGTATCACAAGGTCTTCCTTAATCCTTGTAACTACCATTCATTGTCTATAATCTTTATAATCAGCCATTGTGGCCTTTAATTCTAAATTTATCCCTCAAGACATTTTCTAGTTCCGACATTTGTTCCTCTTGAATATCTTCTTAACATACTTTGTTGAGTTTGTCAAGTTTTCCTTGGTAATCCTTGTGTTTCCTTGTATAGTAGAACTTATTGTTTTTATGTTTAACAAGCCTTTACATAATCAACGTTGTTCCTTAAAGGTTGTATCTTAAATGTTCCTTTTATTCTTTCTTGTAAAAGGTGGGGTTCTTTGGGTCATAAATTCTTCTTTCTCGATATTACAAAGTCTTCCTTAATCCTTGTATCTTCCCTTGGCCTTGCATAATCCTTATAATAAGCCCTTGTGGCCTTAAGTTCTTTGGTTATTCCTTAAGTTATGTCCTTATTCCGACATTTGCTTCTTTTGACTGTCTTCTCAACATCCTTTGTGAGATTGTCAAGTCTTATCTTAAATGTTCCTTTTGTTCCTTCGGGTACAAGGGGAGTTCTTTGCATCTTAAGTTCTTCTTTTCTCGATATAATAAGGTCTTCCTTAATCCTTCTAACTACCCTTGATCGTCCCTAATCCTTATAATTAGCCAGTGTGGCCTTTAGTTCTTAACTTATGCCTTAAGTCATGTACTTGTAATGACATTTGTTTCTTCTGACCGTCTCTTCTCAACATCCTTTGTTGAGATTGTCAAATCTTATCTTAGATGTTCCTTTTGTTCCTTCTAGTACAAGGCGGGTTTTTTGGGTCTTAAGTTCTTCTTTTCTTGGTATTACAAGGTTTTCCTTAATCCTTGTAACTACATCAGCCTTCCATAATCCTTATAATTAGCCCCTGTAACATTTAGTTCTTAACTTATATCTTAAGGCATGTGATTATTCCGACATTTGTTCCTTTAGACTATCTTCCTAACATCCTTTGTTGATATTGACAAATCTTCGCTGGTCATTCATGTGTTTCCTTCTATTGTAGAGCTTATCATCTTCATGTACAACAAACCTTGACATAATTAATATTGTTCCATCAAGGTCGTACTTTAGATGTTCATTTTGTTCCTTCTTGTATAAGGAGATTCTTTGGATCTTAAGTTCTTCTTTTCTCGATATTACAAAGCCTTCCTTAATCCTGGTAACATCTCTGGGTCGTCCATAATCTTTATCATCAACCCTTGTGGCCTTTAGTCCTTAATTTAGGCCTTAAGGCATGTACTTGTTTCCGACTATTGTTTCTTTTGATTGTCTTCTCAACATCCTTTATTGATATCGTCAAGTCTTCCTTGGTCCTCCTTGTGTTTCCCTATATCGTAGAGCATATCGTCTTTATGTTCAACAAGCCTTAGCATAATCAAGGTTGTTTCTTCGAGGTCATAGCTTAGATATTCCTTTTACTCCTTGTATATAAGCTGGCTTCTTTGGGTCTTAAGCTCTTCTTTACTTGGTATTACAAAACATTCCTTAATCCTTGTAACTATCCTGGGCGTCCATAATCCTTATAATCAGCCCTTATGGCTTTTAGTCCTTAATTTTAAGCCTTGAGGCATGTACTCAACAAATCTTAGTCATCCTTATGATCAGCCCTTATGGCTTTTAGTCTTTAATATCCAAGTATTCCTTAGTCATCCTTCATGTTTCCTTATATAATAGAGCTTATTGTCTTTATGTTTAACAAATCTTAACATAATCAACGTTGTACCTTGGATGTTGCTTTTATTCCTTCTTGTACAAGACGAGTTCTTTGGGTATTAAGTTCTTCTTTTCTCGGCATTATAAGGTCTTTCTAAATCCTTGTATCTATCCTTGGCCTTCCATAATCCTTATAATAAGCCCTTGTGGCCTTAAGTTCTTTGGTTATGCCCTACATCATGTACTTGTTCCGACATTTGTTCCTTTTGACTGTCTTCTTAACATCCTTTGTTGAGTTTGTCAAGTATTATCTTAGAGGTTCCTTTTGTTCCTTCTGATACAAGGCTCTTTGGGTCATAAGTTTTTTTTTTCTCGGTATTATAAGACTTTCCTTAATCTTTATAACTACCATTGGCCCTTCATAATCCTTATAATCACTTGTGGGCTTTAGTTCTTAACTTATGTTTTAAGACATGTACTTGTTCCGACATTTGTTCCTTTCAACTGTCTTCTCAACATCCTTTGTTGAGAATGTCAAGTCTTCCTTGGTCATCCTTGTGTTTCCCTATATCATAGAGCTTATCATCTTTATGTTAAACAACCCTTAACATAATCAACATTGTTCCTTCAAGGTCGTAGCTAAGATGTTACTTTTATAATCCTTATAATCAACCTTTATGGTCTTTAGTTTTTAACTTATGCCTTAAGGCATGTACTTATTCTGGCATTTGTTTCTTTCGATTGTCTTCTTAACATCATTTGTTGAGAATGTCAAGTCTTCCTTGGTCATCTTTGTGTTTCTTTCGATTGTCTTTATGTTAAAAAAACCTTAATATAACCAACGTTGTTCCATCAAGATCGTAGCTTAGATGTTCCTTTTGAATAAGGTAGGTTCTTTGGGTCTTGAGTTCTTCTATCCTCGATATTACAAGACCGACCTTCCTTAATTCTTGTAACATCCTTTAGCCGTTCATAATCCTTATAATCAGTCTTTTTGACCTTTAGTTCTTAATTTATGCCTTAAGAGACTTTATAGTTTCGGCATTTGTTCCTTTTAATTTTCTTCTCTACATCCTTTGTTGAGATTGTCACGTCGTCCTTGGTCATCCTTGTGTTTCCTTATATCATAGAGCTTATTGCCTTTTTGTTCAACCAGCACATCCTTTGTTGAGATTGTCAAGTCATCCTTAGTCATCCTTGGTCATCCTTGTGTTTCCTTATATCGTAGAGCTTATTGTCCAATCACATAATCAACATTGTTCCTTCAAGGTCGTATCTTAAAAGTTTCTTTTGTTCCATTTTCTACCAGGCGAGTTCTTGGGGTCTTTAGCTTTTCTTCTCTTGGTATAACAAGGCCTTCATTCATCGTTGTAACATCCCTTGACCATCCATAATCTTGACAACCAATACATATGGCCTTCCATTTGTTCCTTTTGACTGTCTTCTTAACATCTTTGGTTGAGATTGACACTTCCTTCGTCATCCTTACGTTTCCTTACTATTGAACCTATCTTCTTTCTTATGTAAAACAAGCTTTGACATAATCAAGGTTGTTTCTTTATATTCCTTCTTGTACAAGGTAGGTTCTTATGGATTTAAGTTCTTTCCTTAGTGTTACAAGGCTTTCCTTAATCCTTGTAACTACCATCGGCATTGTAAGGACTTTTTTTCCTGTAGACCGTCATGTTCTTGGAGATCTAAAAGTCTTAGTTCTTTCCTTTTGAACTTTTAGGGTTACTAAATGTCCTTGGGTGTTTTAAAATTATCCTGAGTCTTAGCTTATATAGTAATCCTAAAGTTAATCAAGCATTTGAAATCCTTTGGCATACATATCTTAAAGTCTTAAAGTGTATATACATGGTCAAGGTGACAGTGTCCCTTGAGCGGGGCCATAGAGAAGCTTTACTCCGATACAACTTCTGTCACGACCCGATTTTCGAGTCGTGACCTACTAAAACTTGAAAACATAAAAAGAGGAGGGTAAAATTTTTTAATTTTAAAACAAAAGCATAAATAGTTGAAAACCAACTTAAAACATTGGGCCCAGTCAGCAAACAAACTTAAAACATTAAATAGTTGAAACTCAAAGTGGCTCTCTATGGCACCTGCTACAGATCTACTATCATCCTCAACCAACACCTTCTTGATAATTGGAAAAATATGGAAGAACTAGAATGAAGATAAAGACTAGATAAGTAGCCTATTTGTAGGCTATTCATGTCCATAGTCGATGATAGGGTTCCACACTCATTATTTGTCATGTTCATGTTCTTTCCTTCAGAACTTCGGTCCTTAAATTTTGTTCTTTAGTCATGAGTTCTCTTATCATGGTTCTAGCCTGAGGACCTTAGACTTGGGTTCATGGTTCTGCTCTATAGACCTTAGTTCCAAGGTTTTGGGTCATAGTTTTGTGAACTTGGATCTTAATCCTTGGTACTTGGCTCTTGTCCCTTAAATATTTCCCTTGGTACTCATGATCCACGAGACCTACATGGGGATGAGTTCAAGGATATGGATTCCAGATTTGGCCCATGGTGGCTCCAACATCCCTTTAGATCAAGATCTAGATTTGGCCTATGACTCCCCTGACATCTCCTTGGGTCGGGATCCGAATTTGGCATACGGTGGCATTGGCATCCCATTGGAGTGAGATGCAAATCCGATAAATAACTGATGACCCCAAAAATCCCCTACATCTCCTATGACGTGGTCATGTGATTATGACATGCCATGGGAGATCTTGGATGGTTTAAGTGGCACCTAGCAGTCTTCATATCATAATAGGCTCAAGACTTGGGTTGTGCATTTTTTAATGTCATCCTTCGTGGCATAGTCTTTTGATCCTAGAGCATTACTTTAAGTTCATCAGGTCTTAGGTACGGGATCTAAAAGTTTTACTTATAACTTAAGACACAACTAGAGCAGTAGTTATGAGACATGAGGTTCTTAAGCCTTTACATTTCATGCATGGGGTCTTTCATGAGTATCATGCCATCATCGTACTGCTTGGATTTCATCGATTCTCATAAAGGTATTTTTGGTTCATGGCTAAGGTAATATACTATCTCGTGCTAACCAAGGACTTATCTTGATTTCTTAGCTTCTTGTATCATGAGTCATGGCATGTATTCAACACGGTAACTATTCTTATCAAGTCCCATCCTACTCTCTGTGAAGACCTAATAGGCCACATGATCTGTGAACATCATGAACCTAAATCTTGACATCCTGCATATTGGTGTCAAACATTCCATCTAGGTGAGAGAATCTTGAATCTTGGCATCCTGTTAAATGTTTTTGGCATAGGGCATCCCACTTAGATGAGGAAAATATGGAGTCACAATGCACCTCATGGTGGGAGGTCAAGGGTCACATAGGACATTGGTTGGAGTAATACTTAACTTTAGGGCATACGTGTGTGGTATACGTACTTGACTTGATTCATTACCTTAAAGTAGCATCCTGATTACTTGACTTGGTTCATGGCCTTGGGGTGGCATCCTGATTACTTGAATATCAAGAGCTAATCTAAAACTTACTTAACTTGATTCGTGGCATTAGGGTAGCATTCTCATTACTTCAAAATCAAGAGAGAACCTAAAGCATGTTTACTTAGCTTGATTCATAGCCTTAGGGTAGCAACCTGATTACTTGAAAATCAAAAGTCAACCGAGTGCTTACTTGCTTAATCCATGGCCTTATGGTAGCATCCCAATTACATGAAAATTAAGGGCCAGCCTAAAGCTTACTTACTTGATTCATGGCCTTAGAGTACCATCTTGATTACTTGAAAATTAAGGGCTAACCGATAGTAATGCGTACTTGTCACACCATAACTTCATGGCATGCTTGAAGTTCATGTCCCTAAAGCAAGCATACTTATGTTATTCGTGTCGACATATTGTCCTCATGAGCATAAGTTATTCATAACGTCATACATGTCATAACATCACTCTTGGGCCTCGTGAAATCTTATAAGGAGGTCATTAGGGGTATTTTAGTCATTGACTACTTGAGAATCTTGGTTCATACCTCAAACATATTCTAGTCCTTTTAATACAATGTATGAGTTCTTTCTGACCTTTCATGTCTTTATGTGCTTAAGTCTTGGTGAGCTTAGATTCCTTAGTCTCATTGGTTCTTGGTTTCTTTCTTGCTTCAAGGTTATTCTTATGACACAATCATGGCAAAAATCTTAACATGAATTCTTAAGCCCTAATCCAAGCTCAAGTCATAAACATTTCATTGCAACGTAAAGATCATAACGTGTTTCTTGAAGTTCTAGAAATATCACAGAGTCCTTATTAAAGGTCATTAGGGGTAGATTTGTCATTTCCTTTAAACCTTGGCTTACACCCCTAACATGTTCTAGTTCCCTTTAGATCTATCATAATTATACTTAAGGTCATACATAAATTTCTTTTGAGGTTTCATAATGTTTAGAGTTCTTTAAGGTCATGAAAACATTTTGGAGTCCTTATTCCGACCTCCTTAAATTCTTGGGAAAGCTTCCGTGTCCTTAATATAGGTCATTCTTCAAATCCTATGCCATTTGAAGATGTTTTGGACCTTGTAACAGCTTAGGGTTATCCTAGGGGCAATTTGATCATTTTACCCTTCATTCTTCATTTAACACCAAAACGTGCTCAATGACTTTGGAATTTTGCATAACCAATAAGCCATATATAAAATCTTAGGCCATCTACAGTTCATTTGGTTCATAAATCAACACTTTACCCTTAAATTTAACCTCCTTAAATTCTTGGGTAAGCTTCATCCTTATATATAGGTCATACTTCACATCCTAAGCCATTTGAAGACTTTTTGGACCTTGTAATAGCTTAGGGTTATCCTAGAGGCAATTTGGTCATTTTACCCTTCATTCTGCATTTAACCCCAAAACGTGCTCAATGACTTTGAAATTTTGCATATCCAATAAGCCAATATAAAATCTTAGGTCATCTAGAGTTCATTTGGTTCATAAATCAACACTTATGCATATAGGGGCATTTTGGTCATTTTGGTCATTTTGCACTTATCCTCGATTTAGCCCTTGAACAAACTCCAATGACCCAAAGTGGATGCATACCTCATCATTGATGGTCGGGTTCTTGGTTCTCGAGCTTTTGATATCCAAATTGCTCCTTTTTTTTGTTTTTTTGTAGGTCCACTTTTTAGTCTATTTTCGGGAACTAAATAGAACTTCATGAAAACCAGTTTGGAAGGGTTTAAGGAAAAAAAGGAAAGGTCATAGTTTAGGCTGATGTTACCGGTTCAATTGGAAATTCAAAAATTCTTCCCTCCATGGGCCAAGAAACTTGAATTTCAACCAACTTCAACTCTCGAATACTTTATGAAACTTGTTAGGGACCTCATTTAAAAGCGATAGGAAATGACATTTTTGCATTTTATGCTTACTATTTTTTTTTTTTTTTTTTTCCAAAACGTTTCCAAAGACCTTGGATTCTTATGACTCCTTGCTAGGTCATCGAGAATCTTTTCATAAGGCCCCTTAACCTTGCTTCGGTCTCTTAATCATTTCCTTGGATCCCTTAATCCTTTTTTTGGGCTCCTTAAACCTACCCGAGTGTCTTACTCTTACTTGGGGTCTTCCGTAACCTCCCCCTCTTAAGAACTTTCATCCCCAAAAGTTAACGGTTCCTATCTTGCCTAAGGGTTCTTGTCCTTAGTAGTCTTTCCAAGTTCCTTGAAGGTCCTTTTATAGGTTTGAACTTCTCCGGCATGTCTTTATAATCTGCCATTGTGGCCTTTAGTTCTTACCTTATGTCGTAAGTCATGTATGTACTTGTACCGGTATTTGATCCTTTTAACTGTCTTCTTAACATCCTTTGTTGCAATTGTTCCCTTGTATCTTAGAGCTTTTAGAATTTATACTCAACAAGCCTTGACATAATCAACGTTGTACCTTCTAATTCATATCTAGATGTTCCTTCTTGTACAAGGTGGGTTTTTTTGTGTCTTAAGTTCTTCATTTCTGTGTATTACAAGGCCTTCCTTAATCCTTGGAACTACCCTTCTCCATCCACAATCCTTATACTTGTGACATATAGTTCTTAAATTATGCCTTAAGTCTTAACATAATCAACGTTGTTCCATCATGGTCGTAGTTTAGATGTCCCTTTTATTCCGTCTTGTACAAGGCGGGTTCTTTGGGTCTTAAATTCTTCTTTTCATGGTATTACAAGGCCTTCCTTAATCCTTATAACATCCCTTGGTTGTCCATAATCCTTATAATTAGCCATTGTGGCCTTCGGTTCTTAAATTATGTCTTCAAGTCTTAACATAATCAATGTTGTTCCATCAAGGTCGTAGCTTAGATGTTCTTTTTGTTTCGTCTTGTACAAGGCGGGTTCTTAGGGTCTTAATTCTTCTTTCTCTGTATTACAAGGTCTTCCTTAATCCTTGTAACTACCCTTGGTTGTCCATAATCTATAAAATCAGCCCTTGTGGCCTTTAGTTCATAACTTATGTCTTAAGGCATGTACTTGTTCTAGCATTTGTTCCTTTCAACTGTCTTCTCAACGTCTTTTGTTGAGATTGTCAAGTCATCATTGATCATCTTTGTGTTTCCCTATATTGTTGAGCTTATCGTCTTTATATTTAACAAGCCTTAACATAATCAACGTTGTTCCTTCAAGGTCGTATCTATATGTTTCTTTTGTTCCTTCTTGTACAAAGCGGGTTCTTTTGGACTAAAATACTTCTTTTCTCGGTATAACAAGACCTTTCTAAATCCTTGTAACATCCTTTGGTTGTCCATAATCCTTATAATCAACCCTTGTGGCCTTTAGTTCTTAACTTATGCCTTAAGTCATGTACTTATTTCGACCTTTGTTCCTTTTGAATGTCTTCTCAATATCCTTTGTTGCAATTGTCAAGTGTTATTTTAGATGTTTCTTTTGTTCCTTCTTATACAAGGTGGGTTCTTTGGGTCTTAAGTTCTTTTCTCAGTATAACAAGACCTTCATTAATCCGGGTAACTATCATTGGTCGTCCATGATCTATAAAATCAGCCCTTGTAGCCTTTAGTTCTTAACTTAGGACTTAAGGCATGTACTTGTTCTTTTTAACTGTCTTCTCAACATCCTTTGTTGAGATTGTCAAGTTATCATTGGTCATCCTTGTGTTTCCCTATATTGTAGAGCTTATCGTCTTTATATTTAACAAACCTTAACATAATCAACATTGTTCCTTCAAGGTCGTATCTTAGATGTTCCTTTTGTTTCGTCTTGTACAAGGTGGGTTCTTTGGGACTTAAATTCTTCTTTTCAAAGTCATGTACTTGTTCCGACCTTTGTTCTTTTTTAATGTCTTCTCAATATCCTTTGTTGAGATTGTCAAGTGTTATTTTAGATGTTCCTTTTGTTCCTTCTTGTACAAGGCAGGTTCTTTCGATCCTCTTTCTCAGTATAACAAGACCTTCCTTAATCCTTGTAACTACTACTGGTCGTCCATAATCTATAAAATCAGCCCTTGTGGCCTTTAGTTCTTACCTTATGTCTTAAGGCATGTACTTGTTCGTTTTAACTGTCTTCTCAATATCAAGTCTTAACATAATCAACGTTGTTCCTTCAAAGTCGTATCTTAGACGTTCCTTTTGTTCCCTCTTGTATAAGGCGAGTTCTTTTGGTCTTAAGTTCTTCCTTACAAGGTCTTCCTTCATCTTTGTATCTACCCTTGGCCTTGCATAATCCTTATAATCAACCCTTGTGGCCTAAAGTTCTTTGGTTATGCCTTGAGGCATTTTCTAGTTGTGGCATTTATTCTTTTTTACTTATCTTCTCAACATTCTTTGTTGAGATTGATGGGTCTTCCTTCTTCATCATTCTATTTCCTTATATCGTAGAGCATATCATCTTTATGTTCAACAAACATTGACATAACCAACGTTGTTCATTCAAGGTCATATCTTAGATGTTCCTTTTATTCCTTCCTTTTATTCCTTAATCATTGTAACTACTCTTGGTCTTCTATAATCTTTATAATCAGCCCTTGTAGTCTTTAATTCTTAACTTTTGCCTCAAGGCATTTTCTTCTTCTCGCATTTGTTCCTTTTGACTATCTTCTCAACATCCTTTGTTGAGATTGACAAGTTTTCCTTGGTCATCCTGATAGGGTCTTAGGTTCTTTTTTTCTCAGGATAACAAGGTCTTCCTTAATCCTTGTCACATCCCTTGCCTGTCCTTAACTTATGTAAGTCATGTGTTTATTTCGACATTTGAAGTCTTATTTTAGATATTCCTTTTGTTCCTTGTACAAGACCCGTTGTTTTGGACTTAAGTTCTTCTTTTATCTGTATAACAAGGCCTTCCTTAATCATTGTAACATCCCTTAGCCATCCATAATTCTTATAATAAGCCCTTGTGGCCATTTGTTCTTAACTTATGCCTTAAGCCATGTACTTCTGTCGACGTTTGGTCATTTTGACTGTCTTCTCAATATTCTTTGTTGAGATTGTCAAGTCCTATCTTAGATGTTCCTTTTGTTCCTTCTTGTATAAGACAGGTTCTTTAGGTCTTAAGCTCTTTTCTCAGCATAACTACCTTCCTTAATCCTTGTCACATTCCTTGGGCACCATAATTCTTATAATTAACCCTTTGTGATATTTAGTTCTCAACTTATACCTTCAGACATGTATTTGTTTCGATATTTGTTCTTTTTGACTATTTTCTTAACATCCTTTGTTGAGATTGTCAAGTCTTCCTTGGTCATCCTTGTGTTTTTCTATATCGTAGATCTTATCGTCTTTATGTTTAACAAGTCTTAGCATAATCAATGTTTTTTTTCTTCAAGGTCGTAGCTTAGATGTTCCTTTTGTAACGTCTTGTACAAGGTGAGTTCTTTAGGTCTTTAAGTTTTTTCCTCGGTATAACAAGGCTTTTCTTAATCCTTATAAAATTCCTTGGCTGTCTATTATCCTTATAATCAGCCTTTGGTCCTCAATTCATGCCTAAAGCATGTACTTATTCTGATATTTGTTCTTTTGTTCCTTCTTGTACAAGATAGGTTCTTTAGGTCATAAACTCTTCTTTTCTCGATATTACAAGGTCTTCCTTAATCCTTGTAACATCCCTTAGTCGTCCATAATCCTTATAATCAACCCTTGTGGCCGTTAATTCTTAACTTATGTCTTAAGGCGTGTACTTGTTCCAAGATTTGTTCCTTTCGATTGTCTTCTCAACATCCTTTGTTGAGATTGTCAAGTCTTATATTAGATGTTTTCTTTTCCTTCCTGTACAACATGAGTTTTTTGGGTCTTAAGTTCTTCTTTTCTTGGTACTACTACAAGTCTTTCCTTCATCCTTGTAACTACCTTTAGCCTTTCATAATCATTACAATTAGCCCTTGTAGCCTCTAGTTCTTTAACTTATGCCCTAAGACATTTTCTTGTTCGGGCATTTGTTCATTTTGACTATCTTCACAACATCATTCATTGAAATTGACAAGTCTTACATTAAATGTTCCTTTCGTTCCTTCTTGTACAAGGTGGGTTGTTTGGATCTTAAGTTCTTCTTTTCTCAATATTACTAGGCTTTCCTTAATCCTTTTACTACTCTTGGCCTTCCATAATCCTTATAATCAGCCCTTGTGACCTTTAGTTCTTAACTTATGCCTTAAGTCGTTTTCTAGTTCTGGCATTTATTCCTTTTGAGTGTCTTCTTAACATCCTTTGTTGACATTGACAAGTCTTCGTTGGTCATCCTTGTGTTTCCTTATATCGTAGAGCTTATCATCTTTCAAGGTCATCTCTTATATGTTCCTTTTGTTCCTTCTTGTACAAGACACGGTTTTTTAATTCTTAAGTTCATCTTTCCTTGGTATTACAAGACCTTCCTTAATCTTGTAACTACCTTTGGCCTTCCATAATCAGCCCTTGTAGCATTTAGTTTTTAACTTATGCCTTAAGGAGTTTTCTAGTTCCAACATTTGTTCCTTTTGAGTGTCTTCTCAACATCCTTTGTTGAGATTAACAAGTCTTCCTTGGTCATCCTTGTGTTTGCTTATATCGTAGAGCTTATCATCTTTATGTTCAACAAACCTTGACATAATCAAAGTTGTCCCTTCAAAGTCGTATCTTAGATGTTCCTTTTGTTCTTTCTTGTACCAGACAAGTTCTTTGGGTCTTTAAGTTCTTTTCTTGGTTTCACAAACTTAATCCTTGACCCTTGGAAGAATAATGAGAATAAATTGTTAAATTGATGATGTGGCAATGAAACATTGGAGAAAGCCTAATGAGAACAAATTGTTATATTGATGATGTGGCAATGAAACAATTGGAGAAAGCCTAGTCATAAGCCAAACAAGCAAACTGAGGGGCGATGAAACTGAAATAGAGAGGAAAGGACAAACTCAGAGTGCGCTCTATACTCAGAGCCTTCCCTTCGACATGCCCAGATGAGTCTGCACCGGCCCTAGTTTTCCACCCCTTTCTCCTATTTCTCTCTTTCTTCACCTCTTTCTTCACCTCACCACTCATCATTGCCTCTTATTCATGAACGATTCTTCTGAATTTTTTTTTTTTCTTTGTTCTTGTTCGTTTTGTTACTTGGGTCTGTTTGTTTTCTACAACTTTTGTGGGCAATTCGCCTATATGCTGTGGCATGGTTTCTCTTATGCCGAATGTGGAGTATGTAATGATCAATGATGTGCTCTGATTGATTTGAAATGAAATTCTTTGATCATTGAGTTTTACATTGTCTCTTTGGAAATTGGAACGTTGAGATAGATTCATGGGGTTTATTATAATTGCAGAAGTCTGGCTTTTCACTCGATTTCACTAACTACCTAAAACACTCATAAAATAGAAAAACGTAATTTAATTTCTTACTCATGAACCCTTTCAACTTTAACGTTCTAATCATTTACTCTTGAATCAAAAACATGATATTAGTAGAACACAAGGAACATCAAAAAGATATAATAAAGATTAAATATAGGAATCTAACATTATTAGGACCACAACATTCTTACATGATGGAGTGTTGAATGTAGCAATTAGAGTTGGATTCCTTGACCTCAACTTTATTATTTACATCTATGTCCTCCATTTCCATCTGAAATTTTCATAACATGGTTATTAATCAACCGATAATTTGAAACCACCAAAAGTAAACATTAACTATTTTTGTTAAAGTTTGACCGGTAAATAGAATGATCAAAGTTTTGTAAAAGCAATGGCTTACCTTAGTGGGTTGTGTGGTTATATTTCATGCATCCCTAATTGTTTACAACAAACTTTACATGAACGGACCGTCCTGCATGATATTATTAATGAAAAAATAATTATGCATCGATCTTCAATGCAGACAAATCATTAAGTTGAACAAAGAACGTACCTTCGATTTCAACAAATTGATTGAGATCATTTTGCCTAAACTCAAATCAGTCTCAAAAGTTGATCCAAACACTAGTATATATCTCATATCGTTCATCATCATGACCTAGAGGAATGTTCCCCTAAGAGAAAATTCAGAATCCAAAACCTCATTCTCAAAAACTGAAGTGGTTGAACAGCAAAATGATTCAACCTAACGAATTTCATCAATCATAAAATATGATTCGTTTGAAAATCTTAAATGTATTTTTTCCATAATGTAAGTGTGTGCACAAATGCATATAACAACAAGATAACCTCAACCTCAATCTCAAATGTGTTAGCTAGCTTTGAAACAAACACTCAACTCAACTATGAGCGCCTTGACTACTTAGTCCAGAAATTGTAGTAAAACCTTCATTTATGTTGAAATCACATGCAAATTATAAATAAATAAATAAAAATTTAAAAAAAAAAAGTGCATCAAATCATCCACAGCAGGAAAAAAAGCTATAAATCCGCATACAGACTCCCAAATATTATGTACATCTTCCTTGATCTGATGAATCTAAATGCAAATCTGTGCAAGTTCAGAAAATGGAATACTATTGTAAGATATATGGACACACTAACATTGAAAGACAAGCAAATACTGGAAACTATAACATCTCATAATCAAACTTTCCAGAACTTGCAGTCAGATGCTGACATAATCCATAAGCAAACAAATGTAAACCAAAGATCAATAAGCAGACAACAATTGTGCATGGCACTAAATTTTACAATACAAGTCAACTGTTTTTTCCTTCAATTCTGGCTAAGTTCTATAAGACGTATTGTCTAAACTGGCTCGACAGAATGGTAACTCTGCCGATAAGATACTATATTCTTCCATAAGAAAAACGACTTTCATGATATTAGGCTTTTTGATTCATCATTTACTTTCAGTACATCTTTTTTCAAGAGTTGTAAAACCGAAAATCAATATAGAACTTCACAGCCAACAAATAATGAAACTAAAAATAATCTTATAAACAATAATTACTTCCTACAGCCTTGGGCTTGGAATCATACCAGTATTCCTAGCAGATGCGAAAATCCACCAGCCTGATTTGACAGGACCAACTGTTTTTCTTTTGCCAAGCAATCACTTCATCAAGAGCAACTGCTTCGTTCTTCCCCACTCTGTTATATCGGAACCAATCTCAATGACATAAGAGTTCGCCGTTCTCTTCTCTTCTGCCAACACATAAATTTGAATATCAGGTTTGTTCCCTGGCTCCTCACACAGAGAAGAGATAGAAGATGATGGGGAATGAAACGAAGAATCCTAGACAATAATCACGTTACCATGGGAACGAACAATGAACCTACTAAAAACGTCCTAATCCTCCATAATCGAAACCACGAAAAATACAAAAGGTGTCGATAACAGGAAAGAAAGAGAAAGAACGAACGATCCTTCGATTAACCTCTGAAGTTGCTCGAGTGAACCCCTAAATCAGAATAATCTCTGAAATTCTCCAATAAACCCCTAAATCGGAATAGCAGGCTGTGCCTTTAAAATTTCAACCCGGAACAGAGTAGTCACGACCAAATTACCGAAATGTAATTACATTACCTCTATTTTGCATCACCGGGATCAGGCGAGAAACTCCTTTCGATTCTGCTCCCTCTTGCTCCGATTGCTTGGTAATTATCTAGCGTTTGAGTTTGGCAACGAACGTTCGGAAGGGAAGAGGCCGTTGATGGAGCGCTCTGATTCTAGTGTGAGAAAGTGTCCTGAAGAAGAGAGTGTGAGTGCGGGAGGGATATATATGGTCCCGCGGGGCCGAGACAGCTGGCGTCCGAATAAGCCGGGGGTAACGCCTCCGAAGACCATTTGGCTCTGACAGTGGAAAACCGTCGACGATGCGAACGGCTAGGTAATTTAATTCATCTTCCGTAGTTGTAGGGATTTTTCCGATTATATTTTTATAATATTTTGTTTATTTAAACAAATCATGAAGTAATGTTTTTTTTTTTTTTTTTTTTTCCTTTTTCTAAGGAGATTTTGTCCAACAAACTGGAATAGAATTTACTCGAATTCAGTAAATTAACATAATAGAATTTATTGGAGTTCATAAAATTAACAGAACTCTTATAATTTGGTTGGGTGGGGTTGAATGTACTGCTCAAATACTTTAAATATTGTTAAAATAATTTTTTTTTAAATAAATATTTGAAATGACAATTCAAACCCACACACGAAGTTAGTTTAGAGTTTCGACTAAGAAGATTGAGTTATTTAGAAAATGAGAAGAAGGGTTCGAGAGAAGAAAGTTGAGTTAGTTCAAAGTTTTGACTATGAACCCGAAACCGAACCGAGTCAATTTGAGTTCAGGAAAAATAACCCAACCCAACTCAACTCCTATAATTCAGGTTGGGTTGGTCCGGATTGTCAGGTTGGATCTACACCCCTAATACTAATTTCTAATGAAGCTTGGAAGAGGCAAAATTACTCCCAAAACCGAATCGAGTCAATTTGGGTTCAGGAAAACTAACCCAACCCAACTCCTATTATTTAGGTTGGGTTGGTCCGGGTTGTCAAGTTGGATCTACACCCTTAATACTAATTTCTAATGATGATGCAATTAACCCAAGGAAGGATAAGGAGCAAAAACTAATGAAGAGGCAAAATTACTCCAGATTCTGATGATGATGCAATTAACGAGCAATTAAGAGCAAAAACTGGAAATTAAGGCTTGCAATTATTTATATTCGTTTATTAATTACTTGGTTTATTTTTGTTTAACATTATTTTTCAGGAGAAAATTACATTTTTGCCTAAAACGTCCGATTTTAAAAGATTGTTTTTTTTTTTTTTAATAGAGGTTTGGTAGTAAAATTTGGGGTGATACAAAACTTTTTTGTTTTTTAATATCATACTACGGATAACAATAATTCATGTATTACTTCAGTCTATAATAATTTGTGTATTACTCATGTATATGAAACACAAGTTAGGTGTCGGCACTTGTTACGTCACGCAACACATTCTACTTCCACATGTACCACAAGTTACATACACGATACATGATTTACATTAAATTGAAACCATTAAACACGATTCATTTAGTAACACATAGACATGGAATATAGTTAGCTTAACCGAAGTCCAATATACACTACTTCTGCAACAACCCTAAATTTGTAACTATTTTTTTAAATGAAAAAAAACGCCCTATTGATGTATGAAGTTCTAAAGAACAAACCCTTTCCAACCGAATAGAAGTATATAACTAATGTTCATTTCTAATCAAATGCAGTTACTAATGATCCAACAAAACTTCCAAGAACTCATCATAAGCAAAACTGAAAAATAAAATCAAGCACCATAAAGCAATAAACTACAAAATGGTAATAGGTAGGTAATAAATCATATAAATCTACTCTCCTTTATTTGTGAAGACAAAGCTACTCATCATACAATTAAAGAAATCACTCGAAAAGGAACAATAAAATTACGAAAACTGAGACTGCCTCTACAAGTAATAGTTTACAATCCCCAGTACAGGTGGAAAAATTGGACACTGCTATCTTACTGCGCCTTAATTTTCTTGGTATACCACCAAAAAATACCCAGCAGCATTATATCCTCATTCCAGCACCACTAGTTTAATGCTTTGAAAACATACCTTGGGTTAAAGAGGAGAAATCATACTCTTTTCCTGACTGTGAAGGAGTCGCTGATGACACAGATGCGGTCGATTGAGGTTTGTTTTTCCCTGTGGTGTTGGTGGTGGTGGTGCTCACGCCATTCACCGGCACTGAAGAAACTTGACCGAAGCTATAAAGGCTGTAAGAAAGAATATGAGAACTTCAGCTGATCATATTTAAGAATTGATGAATCTATTTGATTGCATTCACCCAATCAATGTTCAAAATCTTTATAATTAACAGATCCCGACATATTTTACCGAACAAATTGTTGTTAATAATGATAATTATACTGGAGAATTGGAGGGGTTTCTTTTTCCTTTTCCATCTTTTATCTTACATAAGGGACCAAATATGTTTCGGACATCAGCATTTCTTCCGCTGTAAGAAACAGACAGTCTCATTCACTCACTTAAGTTTCAGATTTTGGTTGTTTCCAGAATTAATCATCATTACGCTTGATAGAACAAATCTCTAAAAATGGAAAGAAGCAAAAAAATTTCGATGAAAAACAACAACCTTGAACTCAAGTTGAAAAAGCTTTTGGAAGTATTTTTTGGATAGGAGCTTTTGAAAGTCTTTCAGAACTTGAAAATCCGTTGGAATACAAAGATACATAATTGCATACCTAGATGTAGGATATGAAACAGAACTCCCAACTGGATTTGCCAGCCCCCTGTTCATTGTCTAACTCACAAAATATAAACAATTAGAAACTATGTGGATGAGAATCAATTAAGTTGGCTTCTAATAAACATTATAAGAACACTTGCTGCTACCTGCACTGTAGTTTGCAGCCCACCCTGTGGACCCATTTGCATCATCAATCCAGGGATCGGGTAGGTGACATTTGGCCAACTTTGAGGCGGAACATTGGTACCATTGGGGACAGCGGGTTGAGCGTTGCTAAATTTTGCGTCCCCAGCAGCTGATTTAGCTGCAGCAGCCATGAGAAGTGATTGTTGCTGAGCTAGCATCGCAAGTTGCTGTTGATGCATAGCAAATGGAGAGACCATATTGGACTGCACGTATTCAAATCAAAATATCAAATACAACTGTCAGTAGAAGCCCAAAACACTCCTCTTTAATCAAGTAGTTTTTTAACATATTTAAATTTTGTACAACTAAATAGCTAGTTCAGTTAAAACTAAAATAAAAGAAGAAAAGTTGCTCTTTCAACTGAAAATAACATGATATAAAAATACCTAATTCAATCTCATAGGCTAAAATGGAAAAGTAGCGAGAAAAGTAGAAACTTTACTGAAGAGTATAATATCAAGTCTTAAAAGTGATAAGGCAATATTTACCTTTTCAAAAAGACTCATTATATCATTTTTAACATCTTTCACAGGTTTATCTGGAACTAAAGAAGGTGAAACTAAGGTTGAATCTTTGAAAAGATCCTCAATTCCAGAAGTGGACTGGGGAATGGCTTCAGCTGGTTTTGTTGGCGCAGGTTTCTCTGCTGATGATGCTTCTTCAGCAGCTGTAAAATTGAGCACACACCAAAAAATCAGAAATATATAAAAATGCTTGGGCAAGGAAAAGTTAAAACATACACTGGAAACCAGCCCATGAACTATCATCTGTAGAAACTGCAGCTGAGCCATCATCAGAGGGGCCATCAAAGGATAGCATGTTAAAAAGATCAGTAGCATAATCAACTTTTGGAGAGACAGCTGGGGCATCATTTGTAGTCTGTTTCGTTGCTTCAGCTTGCTGTACAACTGGTTCTGGTTTCGGCTCTTGGCATGGTTTGGGGGCTGGAGCAACCTGTACAAATATAGAAAACAAATGCATTAGAAGTTCTAGCAACATTTTGTTGAAGCTTTAGTTGTTTTTTTCCTTTTATCTTTCTAAAAGCAAGAAACGAAACTTTTCATTTTCGCTAAAGCTTAAAAGATATAAAAACACCACAAAGAGGAGAAAAACCAGAAATAATAATAAAGCACGTAAAAAGTTGCAACTGAAAAATAAAAGCATTATCGTTGAGACATAAATCTTGAATAGATCATTGATCACTAAACCCTGTATAGAGCTCAGGCAATGCCACCATAACTTACCCTGACGGGATTTTGGTGTGCTTCTGTTTCTACTCAGACGGGATATAAACATGCCCCCAGTTTGGTCCTCAGACCAAAACCAAAATGACTCATTTGTGAAGGAGAATCCATGATGAACGTCATTTTTATATGTGCATTATTAAATACATTATTGATGGCCTAGCAAACAATAGCATACATATTCTCTCTAATTTTGAATGTATAAACTGTTAAAATAAGCACAATTAAACATTTATAAGTTATTTAGTAGTACAGAAGTAATATTATGAAATGAACTTCCAGGTACAAACTAATTTACATTTCACACTTTCCACATTTAACTTTCCTCTTCCCCAACATGTCCTAAATCAAAAGTAATTTTTGCATGATGAAATTCGTTAAAAAAATCATAATAGAAACATCCAATTGTTAAGTAGGGAAGTTAATAAACAAGGAAGAAAAGCCAGCATACTTGTTCAGGTCCTCTGGGAGGAACAGGAAGACTAACTCTCGCGGCAGGTATACTCTCTTTCACACTATGTGTTTGAAGTCTCTTCCTTTCCTCGAACAAATTTTCAGAATGGCCTGAATACCCTGATCCACTTCTTTCCGCAGGCCTCTGCCCATGCAAAGAAGGCCTTTCCTCCTGTACTTGAGAAGGTGATCTTGGTTTGCCATCCTTAGAAACCCATCTCTTATCTTCATACCTGTAAAATTTGCATAATGCCGAGTACTTTTGGACGTCAAGATACTGATAGACATTACAAATGCAGCTATAGTTGTATTGTAAGAAAATGTTAATAGGTTAATCTAGCTTTTAAATCCAAACTTACTTTGCACGAATAAAATTCTCAATCCCAACTCTGTCATAATTTGGAGGTAGCTCCGCCTCCCAATAACTGTTTGCCTTCTCATTCCCCATTGCTACACAAACACAATCTCGGTAAGGAAAGAAATCAATATTGGCTGAAAAAAGAACAAATAAACTATAGGTCGAAGAGCATACATTGTATAAATGTAACCTGCTCTGGAAGCCAAGTATCCAAGGTAGCAGACCGTACCTGCAAACAAGAGCCATCAAACCATACTCACCATTGTCAGCATGCAAGAGATGTAAAAGGAATAATGCCCAGAAGTTGAAAGATAGATCACTAGAAGCTG